CTGACAGAACTTCTCCTAAATTTATTTCCCTGCTGTATTTCTGTCCTTGTGCAACCTACTGGTTGCCTAACTCTCAAAACAGGAAATGCGAGGAAGAAAAAAGTAGATAAATTATTTCAGGAAAGCCAACGGAGTGACCTGGTACAGAGGCATTACTCTGACCAAAACCTGGCTACTATGTACTGTTTTCTTTTTCTCATTTCCCTGACGAGTTTCCCTCGAAGCACAGCAGACAATGTGCTTCACTCAGTAGGTTGCTTGCAAAGTGAAATGGGTAGACTTCCATGGCCACCTGTGCCTCCACGCCTGCGCTCTGAAAATCTCTCAGGGCAAACTTGCTGCTACACGCAATCTGATCAATAATGCCAGTTACAGTTGGAAAAATGTTGAAATTCTGAGGAAATAAACAACCACTGATCTGCTAGCTTCTCAAAATAAAGCGTTACAGTGATAGCGTAACATGGCCTATGCCCACCTACAAACATATCTTTTGCTATCTTTAGTGCTTCAGAGACTTCTGAATTATTGGGACCTTGCTTACATTATGAGTCCGATTTGTTCTCTGAGTGGCAAGTTAGGAATGGCAGTTCACTTGTATGAACCAAGTATTTTAGATCTGCACTGGGCAGTGAAACGTCAGAGTACTAGCTATATTCATGCAAGATGCTACCAAAGGAGACTACTTCAGTGACAAATCAAAGTAACAGTCGTGAAAGAGGCAAAGCGAGGCTGCAGGAGATGATGGTTCATGTCTCACTTCTGTACTAAATAATGTGACCTTTCTAATCCCAGATTTGTTCTCCTCAGAAAACAGAAAGTGGTAAAGCTGTCCAATGAGTCTGCAGGTTCTGTAGGCAGATTTCTGTCAGCTTCAGTGGCTGTGACTCAGTCAAATTATCCACACTTAGCACTGATGGAGTACTGCACCAAAAAAAAAAAGCCATACAAGCACTCGAGAACTAATTCAGGCATCCTGACACAGCACCACTTTATACCACAATGATATATGCACCAAGTTCACAGTGCAAAAAATCAAATTCAGAAAATAAGCTATAATACTGGAATGCTAAAATAGCAAAAGAAAACTCCTTGGAGTGTCATATCAAGGACCAGTGGAAGTAATTCTGTATGCACCGAATACCACCGGCCTCAGAAATACCACCTCAGTACACTTTCTAACAGGAATGAATTGTAATACAGCATCCTACTTCAGTAACCGAGTACACATTGTTTTTAAAATTCATTAAGAAATGTCTAAGGTATTTACAGTCTCCATGGCAGCTTCTGAACAGCTTGCAAATTAACATGATCAGCGTGAAAAACCAATTAGACTACTGAGATCCTTACCACTTTGGATTCTTCATGGACTAGTTGCATTGTTAAGAAATAAGGTCATGTCCTATGTCCTATTTTCTAACCATTCTAACATCTCTTTCTGATCTCTTACTCCTCTGGCGCAAATGGAATAGTGGTGTTATACCTGGCCTTCTCCAGACATCTGATGGAATCTATTTATTAAATAATACAGATATTTATATATTAGGAGCATGTTACTAAGATCTTCCACAAGCATCTGAACGTCAGGAATTTACAGCATGGATACTGAGGGACTGAAGACTTTAAAACAGTGAAATTTCATTAGATTTTGGGGGGACAGAAAAAGGCACACCCTACACTTCAAATTTTCCCCAGAAAGGATATTGAAATCTTAAAAAAAAACCAAAAACAAACAAAAAAACCCCAAAAAACACACAGGAAAACTTAACTTAAAGAAATGATAAAGAAAAAAATAAAATAATTCTCAGAAATTGCTGCACAGTTTTGACTGAGCTATTGCAAAAAGACTGCACAAGGCAGAGACTCTGAATAGAAAATATGAGTAAAAACAGTTAATATTTGGTAACGCTGCACAGAGCTGAAGAAAGAGCATATAATGGGAAGTGTCAAGCACCTTAATACCAGCAATATAAGCACCACCTTTAATAAATGAGGGAGGGACAGAAAAAGAGAGTATAAGCAAATTAACCACAGCCTAGAAACCTCAAACAAGTGTCTCACTTTACTGAAAATCAGATTTCTTGTACTAACAAGTAGAGGATTTTTACATGACATATTGAAAACTATATTTCTCTGAGATGCTGGCCTATCTCAGAGGTATCATAAGTACAGAACTGTGTAATGCAGCTGTTACTATGGAAACAATTACTTTTCTACAGAAAATCGGAAAGTGTAAATCAAGGAAAATCCCAAATAATTTCCTGTCACATAGGTTGGAGGTATTGTTAAACTGCACCCTTTACTTATTCCATTCTATTTCTGTCAAGTCTCTCGTAGCTTTACATACGTTTCAGATAGGGACTGGCAATACTAATTTTTCCCACATTAACTGATGTAATATATCCTGGCTATGTAGCCTCAGCAGTAAATGCAGAAGAGACTAAGATGGGATTTTGGGATCTTTGCTAATACAGATGCCTTCTTCACACAAAAATCTGTTTAATCAGCTAAGAACTGGGGAGGTGGTGCCCAGGTTTCTTGAACGCAGAACTTTCCAACTTCCAAGCTGAGCAAAGAAAAAAAAGAATGGACAAAAGAAAATAGCGTGGCAAATACCTGGCAACTTCTTAAATTTTTTTTCATTTTCTACGATTAAAAATAATTCTATACATACAGACAACTCACAATAACGAGTATGGTTAAAAACACTTAACATATAAAAGAAAGGAGGAAAACAGAAGAGAAAGATTTAGAGAAAGATATGGTAAGATTCACTGATGCAAATTCCCCTCTCTTGCAACCGTTAAAGGATGTTACTTGCTAAATAATCCCTCAGTTCTTACTTTTCCCCTAAGAATCAAGTCTTCTATGGCTATAGATGCTCTCCAGACAAACCCCAGCAGTTAACTGTAAACAAAAGCTATAACTTTTAACCTCTGTTCCAGCACCGTTCCCTGAGCCTGTTCTATAGACCACCAAATACGCTTACCTTACTCAGCTGATCAATCCATTTTGTCACCTCTCCATTTCCAAAACCAGAATTTTCCTTCTCTAAGTTTGGTGTCTTCCCAGAGCCTACTACAGGCCTGTTCACTGATGCATATGTTCTGTTGAACAATAGACTCTGGGGAGCTTGTCATTACACTTCCAGCACAGAATTTTGGTTTTACGAGTCCTAACAATCTTTTCCTTTCTCACTATCACTTAAGCACATAAAGCATTTGCATCACAAAAGACAGATTTTGCCTGAGATGACATATTGCTCGACACAGCAGGGCAAAATAAATTTCAGAAAAACCTTTTCTGTAGTCCCAACATGAAAGTAATCAAATGCACCAGATGGGGGTCTGATTGTACCTTTTCCTAGTAGGTCTGTAAATGTGCAGGCAATTACTTTGTATGAATGTGACAGGAGAAATTTAAATCTGAACTCTACACATAGCAAATAAATCTTACATTAGCCTTTTACCTAAGAAGAATGACACCTCATATAATGCCTCTGTGACCCAGAAAGAAAAAAGATTAAGGAATTACAGGGAATTTCAAACCAATTGCTGCCTCTCTATATGAAAATAAAAGTACAAGCACTGTCTTGCTTTCCAAGTTCTTTTCCTCAGAATAAAGGTTATGTTCAGTCAACTGGGAAACATAAACTCTCCCACATGGCTTTGGGAACCAATTGCAATGTCAAGAGTCTGTTACTGCTCAGTACCCAGAAAGCTGCCTGCAGTAAACCAGTGTGTTAAAAAAAAACAACTAAGAAAATGGCTGAGGAAATATGAATAATGCATAAGTTGAAAGAAATTGTCATCTGCTAGAAAACTTTCTGCACAAACAGAGAAAGGGTCTTCAGTAATTCATCAAATAAGCTATTCACCATGAATTATTCACTTAGTTTTATTACTAAGGCTCCCAAAGACTTCAAGTCATACAAATCTGATAGGGAGATATAAACCTGGGAATCAGGGTTGTGAAGGTCTTGCCTGCTCTTGTATTTTGCAAGACAGGAAATGAAGTTAGAATAATTATATTTTTCTATTATCTTGACTATTAATCTCTTGGCTGGATTACTGAGGGATACAGAATTTCTGCTTTCCCCTTTCAATGGCCCATTTCCTCTGGAAGTCACTAAGGTGAATTTTTCCTTTCAGTTGCACTTTTCCCCTTTGTGAATACAGAAGGATCAGAGGAGTCTAGAAGTGAGTTAAGTGCCTGTGGATTGGGACACTTGTTTTCAGGACTGCACTCATGTTCATGAAGGAGAAACAGCTTCAAGAGAAGTTTGATGATGATATAATACAGAAGGGATAAAAAAAACCAGAAAAGAACCAAAACCTACCTAACGAACAAGCAGAATAAAACAGCGATTAAGATTTAAGTAGTGTACACCTAGAATCACCTCTCCTTGAGTATCCTTGACAAAAAGAAAGGGGGAGGAGTTCCAAAATATACCAAGATCATAGAGGAAAAATTCAAACATGTCACTCAAAGGTAAAAGACACCACCATGTCTTCTCAGAACTGCAAACACTAACACCAAAACACTAACTCTGAGGCAAAAAAAAAATTTGATTTGTCCCCAGATGTTTCCTCCCCACTGAACTAGTGCACTGTAGGAGGCCGTAGAAGGCAGCCTGTTTCCACGAATGGAGCTGCAGTTAAATACAATACCCTTAGTAACTGACAGCATAGATGTTAACTCGGTTTAGTGAGTATCAACTCCATTTATAGCAGCTCTATAAAGAAAGCTTAATGGAAGGCTGCGGGTGTTTCAGGAAGAGAGACGGGTATAAAGATATTCTTGGTATCTGTCCCAGGATCTCCTCCCAGGTGAGAATGGAGGGATACCCTGCAGGAGGGGTGCTGACAACCCAGTTTATTAAATCTGTGCATCATGTATATCAGTCACTCTTTTAGGAGCAAATAAGCAGCTCACTAAAATATTCTAGATGATCCCAAATTCTGGGAACAAGAGCTTTGGAGAAAAGGTGCATGCAATGTTACCATTTTTCAGCATCTTTCAACTTGCAGGAACACCATTGCTGAACTGGAAGACTGGTAGTCGGTCATGGAAAGCCATTATCATGAGTCAGCAGATGCCTCACTCGCATAAAGTGGATTAGATGCCCCATTTCCTTGAAGAGATTGATGAACTCAATGTCAGCTGAGTCAGTGATAAAATCTGAAACCAAAAGAGTCATTTTCCATAAGGAAAAGTTGGTTTGGGCTCAGAAATAAAGCAACGCATTCAAGGAGCGATAACATGACATCTATGCTCTACTGGTTTGAACATGGATGTGGCAGACAGGAGAAATCACATAACTAGATTGCATCTGTGTTGTTGCCAGTCACTTACAAAGGAAAAAAAAGTGCTTAGTCCTGTCCTCATTCCTGCAAACAGGCTGTCTACTGCAGCTCCTGCAGTATACTCCTTCTGCACTTGGGAAACAGGTCCATATAAGACCCAATCAGGATGGAAGCATTCCCTAGCCCAGCAAAGCCTTTCCCACTAGAAGGAGCCTACTGTCCTCCACTCAACCTCAAAATAATCTCTATCCTTCCATTGTAAAGCTTCTCCCCAAACCTGATGCACCTTGGAGACATAGCAGAATGGGGCTGACTAAACCCACGGTAGTTCATTGACTCATCTGAGTTAGGCGTCACAAATGTTCCTACTGTTGTTTCATTATGTGAAGTCAGACACTTCCCCTTCAAGTCTGTAAGCTGCATCATTTTGGGTGGAATGGGATAATAACATTTAGCTTTCTTCCTTAAATAACCACTTCAGCGCATTCAGATAAAAATTGCATCAGATAAGAGCCACGGCTAACATAGGTGAATTGTCGTACTGCAAACCAAGAAAGAATAATAATAATAATTTTAAAAAAGGATGAGATCAATGAAGGATAAGTAGTTAATAATAGCAACTAGCAAAGCTGTTATGACTAGTGATCCTCCAGTTGGAGCAAAACATTCGAAGAGTGATAGCATGAATAATTTAAATTGGAAGACACCTCCCTAAAAGGTCATCCAGGCTGACCCCACACTTAAAGCAGAGCTAATTAAATCAGGTTGCTCACAGCCACATCTGATTAAGTCTTGAACACCTCCAAGGACAGAGCTTCCACAGCCTCTCTGCACAGTCTAGTCCGGCATTTGACCCACCCTCATGGTTAGGAAAAAAAAATCCTAATCCTAATCAGAATTTCCCATGTTCCCACTTGTGCCCTATAGCTGTGTGCTTCCAAAAAGTCTCTAAAGAGTTTCAGAAAACGAAAGGAGATAGATTTTGACTTAAGCGGTTGATTACAGTTGAAGCATTTTGGTAGAGTACTTTGGGGAAGGTGGTAGTCACCTGTCCAGTCTTTGGAATGTCTTTCCACACTGTATTTTATTCTCTGTTTTGTAATACAGCATGTTACAATGTAATATTAAGCTAATAAATACATATGCAGGATTTTTGTTGCTTAATAGTTGTAAGGTTAATAGTCATGGTGAACGCCTGTATTTAATGTATCAATGAAGCTGTGAAATGCCAAGCTGAACAGCTTTAACACATATTAGTTCTACTTGTGAATCTACAAATAAGAACCTTGTCAGAAACCAAGATCAGTATCGATTTTGGTCCTTGGAAAACGCGCTGGACTGTGACATTTTAAAATGACAAATGTCTAGAGAATTATTTGCCAGCACTGATGGTGAGAGAGAGCTATAAATCTGACATCACATGATGCACCAACCCTGAACATTAAGAGCAAATATAACATCAGTGTCTATGACTAATCTCTTCTTTGATATCTATATACTAATAAGCAAATGTATATACTAATATACTAAGGAACACTGAATTCTGTATACGGTGCTTGCAATTAAGAGAAGAAAGAACGCTTGAATTAAGTGAGCATGCACCAGGAGGTCAGATCAGCACTTGGTTATATATTCTCATTTGTTTTGCCACCTGTTCTACCAGCAGACAGTATTCTTTAGATTCACAGCTTGCAGTTTGTGTTACTTTTTAAATATAAGCACTTTCTACTGATAGGAAAACTAGGGAAACTTCAGATATAATAGTGAAAGTAACATTATCCCTTTGTCCTGACACATCTACTTAGACTGGAAGCAGGGAAGAAGGAAGGACGAAGACAGCTCAGGAAACAGTCAACCAACAGGTACTCATTTAAGACAATCACAGAATTTGACCATGACTGAAAAGAGAGAACAGCAATGAATGAACCTAAATAACAGTCATCAAACTTGTTTTCAATTTATACTTCAGCTACTTTCGTGAAGCCTCCTTCTCACTGAACAGTCTAACCCCTGCAGCGTTTTGTTTTGCCAAGCGTAACAGGAGAGCACTCTTCTCTAACAAGGAGAATGGTCCGTGCTCTGCAGAAAGGCGCACACACATAGGCCTTGAATGTGCGTAGATATGTATGCATATATACACAGAAGTCCTGGATACAGAAAGGTAACATATATAGATTGGCAAGTTATATGTCTTAATTTACAATTACTAAAGTTTTTTATTCCTTCCATTTTCATTATGTTAGAGAAGGGTAAGTGATGCTTATCTTGTTTACTACACACTATTACCCAGATATAAAAAAGAATACAATTAAAATATAGAAGAACATTTTAAAATATTTTATTCTTAAGAGTACTGGGTAATTTGTAAGGGTTTAAAGAAGATATAAGCTATATTTAAAACTAATCTTTTACATCTAGAAATATTAACTAAGGTTAAACACTAATGGACTGTTTCTGGTCGTAAAATTCGGATTTTCAGCAATATTTACGTGCTCAAAGATAATAACCAAAGGCAATTTTCAATCAACTTCCCCCTGCCCCATTTGGCAGACACCTAAGGCCTGTTGATTTTATTGACTGCTGTACCCTTCCTTGTCTAAATATTTTTGGAAACATCTCTCATGTCCTTACAGATTTTTAGTGTACCTCATCTTTTCTCAGTCTGTCCTGCCTTCTTATCTCCCAGACGATTTCTCAGCTCTAAGTGAACTGCTGTAAATATGGAAAATTTTTTTCTGTATCTGCTAGACACACTGACAACGGAAGTGTTTAAAGCTAAAAAATTCCTAGAAAGCAGACACCGCAGTACTTGCATCTTTCAAAAAATACAAATGCCAACAGAAGTAAGAACTAGAAATAATATATTTGATACTGGGCTTGTAAAGATAATTTCAACATTACTTGACTGACCAGAGCAGTCCCTATTCGCTACACAACATTGTCTCATGCAATATTTAGTCCTGACTCTGCAGCCTTATCCCATCCGAAATTAAGGTCATGAACTGTGACTATCATGGGATCATTTCCAAGCCCCTTAGGCCCTAGTCCAAACCTCACAGTATTTTCAGGACCTGTTTCACCAGCGGTGTCCCAAGTCATAGGAGCTCTCTGTTATTCTTGACAGCTACTCCTGAAAATTAACGTTCTAGAGTAAAGCTTCCCCTTTAAAGTATCCTCATTCAACGAATAAGCCTTAAAACAGCCTTGCATTACTTATAAAAGTTAGAATAAAAATATATCACAGAGAAAAACCTAAAATAGTATTTGCACGCATGCAGCAACAGGCTGACAGCTACTTGGTCTTGAGGGTGATGGTGTGTGAAGGAGTACAGTTTTGCTTCATACCATAAAAAGACTCATAGTAATGCCCTTTTCACTTTTCCTGACAGCCACTGTAAATAAACCATGTTCTCTTTCAAGTACCACAGTTGACCAGTCCAGAAACACTATGCTGTTTTTAGAAACTATTGCTGGCCACTGAGTGCTGGCCACACTCAGTGTCTTCTGTATTCACTCTGCGCACTCAAGTTCTGCTGCTCATTCCTGTCCTGGAGGACATAATGCCCATGGTAAAAGATGCAGCCACCACTGTGATTGCATCAGGATTTGGGCCATAATTTGCATCATCAACTAATAATACCAATAAAGCGTCAGGTAACCATCTGGATGCAGATAGGACCTAAGTAAGAGGTCACTGTTACTATTTGCTTTTTCATAAAGATTAAAAAACATATACCTAAAAGATCCACAGAAGTTAAACAAATGCTATGGGAAAGTTAGCAATGTGCTGCTCAGTCCCAAACTTCCTGCCATGCTGCCACGTCTGCTCTGCGGAGTTTAGGAAGCCTTAGCTGTCAATGCACTTGTGGTCCATCTGCTCACAGCAGTATCCACAGTGCACCAGGTTTCTAACTGCACACTTTAGCAATGTTGCAGCGTTTATTGTTCAAAAAGTAGATTGTTTTCTACCACTTAATGCTGATTCGTTAGCTCTGTTTCTTTTCAGCAGTGTTCTTATGGAAATGAAAGGAAACAATCAATGACTTTCAGCATAGCCTTTCCTTCCCTGTACCGCAGTGTATTGTTTTTCTTGTTGGGGAGAGCAATGAGGGGAAACTTTTACTGTTGACTACAGCTAATTCACTGAATAAGAGAAGGAGCTACATCAAAGACTTGAATGTATGAATAGTCTGGATAGCAGGAGAAACATGCATCTCCCCACCATGTATTTAATTTCCACTTGGTACGCTCTCCCCCATGCTGCTTTGCATCTCTACAAGTCTTCAATTATTCTTCTTGAATCACTCATACAGTGCACACCAAGTGTCACATGGATCTGCATCAAATTTACAAGAATAATCTCATGCCTAGAGTTTAACTAGACTGTTTCTATGGTTATGACAGATATAGTATTGCTTTTGCTTAATTGTATATCTTGCTCCTGTACACTCTTTGTGATCCAGTCCCTGGATTAGACTCCTTGCAGTGGGGTCTGCTGACATTAACATGAACGAAAACAGTCATTTTTTTCCGAGTTGAGGAACATTGGAGGCTTAAAGAAACTAACAATAAATTCTAGTGACCACAGATAGCTAAAAAACAGCAATTTAAAGAATGGAACAGTAGGAACTCTAAACTATTCTGTACATAAACTTCTGTGAGATAAAAGCTTCCTGATGAATATGGTTCTGATTTTAAGGCAGTTCATCGTTTTCTGAATCTTTCAATTGATTTTGCTTAATTTTACATTATACTGTACCACGACCATACCTGGCAGAGTAATTGCTACCTTCTCCCAGACACCTAGCATTTCATAGCAAAATGTACTTGGTCAAGGGAAAAATGTGTGTCTAACGGCGTAAAAAATAATTTCTT